TGAGGTTGCTAACAACCCACTTCCCTGCACCATACAGGGGAAATAGGAAAACTGGATTCCCTATGGCTAAAACCACGGGGAACCTACCAGCAAGCTGTTAACGCTGCATGGCCACCTCCTCCCCCTCCCACTGTGTCCATATGAAAGGACACAGTAAATAGAGTTTTTAAACTATAACTCACAAGAACTGAAGAATGACATTCGCTGACTTCCGCGAACACTAGGGGTAGCTCTTTCTCTCTGTCCGTCTCCCTCAGGCTCTGTCACTCTTGCCTCTGAGAGGACACCACGTGCCATGTGGACTATCGCCCCTTTTCTAACAAACTTTCCTTTCGACCTTGACTTTGGCGTGTGCGTGGAATTCTTTCTACACTCGCCGCCAAGAACCCTTCTCTCAGTGCAAGGCCTGGTCTGCCCTCTCGGGGGAATTCGTTGGGTCTTGCATTGGTGTTACTCAAAATTCGTCCGGCCTCTCTCCATTACCCACCATTTTAGATGTCTGTTAGAACATCGTCCGGCCTCTCTCCATTACCCGCCATTTTAGATGTCTGTTAGAACATCGTCCGGCCTCTCTCCATTACCCGCCATTTTAGATGTCTGTTAGAACATCGTCCGGCCTCTCTCCATTACCCGCCATTTTAGATGTCTGTTAGAACATCGTCCGGCCTCTCTCCATTACCCGCCATTTTAGATGTCTGTTAGAACATCGTCCGGCCTCTCTCCATTACCCGCCATTTTAGATGTCTGTTAGAACATCGTCCGGCCTCTCTCCATTACCCGCCATTTTAGATGTCTGTTAGAACATCGTCCGGCCTCTCTCCATTACCCGCCATTTTAGATGTCTGTTACAACATCGTCCCACTTCTCAGTACCAAAATCTGTATCACTTGCCTATTTCTGCTGTAACGAATTACGATAAACTCAGTAGCAAAAACAACACATACCCTCTTAGAGCTCTGCAGGGATGAAGGTCAAAAAGAGGCCTACAGGCCTGAACACAAAGCCAAGATGGCCGCTCACAGCTGCATCACTACAATCTCTAGTTTCTGTTGTGTCGTCTCCTGCTTCCGCAATTTGATCTCCCTCTGCCTTCCTTTTATAGCACCGCTTGTGATTATACTTAACGACTACCTGGATAATACAGGATAATCCTCCTCAAGCTCATTAATTTAACGATACCTACAAAGCCTCTTTTGGCACATAATGTAATGTTTACAGATTCCAAGAATTAGGACCTGGCTATCTTTGGGGACAATTATTCAGCCTTCCACAAGGGTATTTTAGACATTCTGTAAGTAATTTAATGTAAAATTTCTAATAACTTATATAAACTTATAATTCGTTTAATGTGTCTATCATTAAGTTTAATATACAAAGTGAATAAAACTAAGTACCAATTAAAAATAATCATTACATTAAGAAGTAGAATTTTTTACACTGTCAATCATTTTATTATACAACAAAGTAAGCTTTGTGCAGTGGCAGTATCGTGCCCAATGAGGTTTATTAGAGGCGTGATTATTGCTAATTGAAACAACGAAGTATAAAAGACTTAAAAACAAGTTCCTTGGCTATTAATCTACATAAAATCTGCATGTATTCAAAATACAGGTCCCAAGAAAGAGGAGAACACGTTAGTTAAACACACACTTGGAATGAAGATACAATATTGCCTGGTAACAGTCATGCCCTATGTACCAGAGAGTTCATAAAGCACACCGAAAATTATCAAGCATCCTCAGGACATATAGCATTATAAACTTAGATTGCAGAGACTCTAAATTCCTCCTCAGGTCCAGTTTAATAAAGCTATGAGATGAAAACACACAATAAGGAAAGAAACCCATCTGTACCAAATGGGTAATTCTGGCAGGCTGCCCAATCTCCTCACCTAGGCTGGAGTAAATGTGGCTGAGGATACGCGCTGGCTGTACTCTGATGGGGTAGACCTCTGCAATGGTCTCCACATCGATTCCCTCGTCCTTCAAAATGGCCTTGATTTCTTCTGTCTCAGCCAGAATAGAAACTGCAGGAAAGAAAGATGTGGTTAACAGAAAATTTTATTTCAGTAAGAACCTAAAATTTCTCCAGTCACATAATTTCTTTTGAAGGGAAGAGAAAGGAAGGGGGAGAAAATGAACAATGATTGAGGAACCTTGATAAAGCAAGTATCATGGTAGATATGTCACAATATTATCTAAATGGAAAAGTAAGAAAGATCTCATGACTAGAGCACAAGATTCTCATTTTTGGCCACATATCCAAGTGTTCCTGGAGAATGCCACACTCTCTGTGTTTGGGATCCCACGTTGAAATAGGAAAGAAATCCACCATGAAAGCTGAATCCCTAAGGCTCTTATACAGTTGTGCCCTTAAGACCAGGGCAAGATTACAGGGTAATAAAGAACACTCTAATGATAAAACTTGCTCTATAGCTAGAGACTGGTAGAAAGCAAGGTAAATAGGGAATAAGGAATTAGGTACCATAGCTGAAATTGTGTGTGGTTGTTTGCAGGCTAGAGGGATAGGTGATAGTACTTTTCTCAACTCAGAGGGTAGACAGCTCCCTTTTGCTCCTCTTACCTTCATGTCTTTGGAGTAGCAGTCATAGTCACAAGGCAGTGGCCAGGCCAGTGCCCTGACTCTTCCGCTTAGAGGCCAAGAATCTGAGAGGGGCCTCAGCTGGCTTAACACTAAGCACCAGGGACAAACATGCACCCTATTGTTGATCCTCTAGAGCTGCTAGAAAATGAAGGCACCACTTGGTTCATTCCAGCTTACCAGTGTTTTTTATGTTGAGTTTTTTAAAGCAAAAGCCTAGTTAACAAAGTGATACTTTGCTTTCCGTTGCCATTATCTTTTCTGTATTTTTCTGTCTTGGGCAGATCATGGTGTTGCATTGCCATGGTCTAAGCAGGATATGGTGACTATAGAGGGCCCTAGATATAACTCCATCTTCATTACTTCTAATCAAAAACACAAAAAAGATAAAGATTCTCCAGGGAGATTGTACAGAGGAAGAATGATAACGAGCTGAGGAAAGTCCTGGGAAATACCTGTGGTCATCCTCATCTGTTCACTCACTAATAAACATTTAAAGCTCCTAAACAGATCAAGTGCTATGCTGGATACCAGGGTTACAGAGATGAATAAGTTACTCTCTTCTGTAGGAGCTCACAGAATAATGAACATGACACACAGATAAATGGATTCTAAAATAACCTACTAGGTAATCAGAGGTATGCACAAAACATTATGAGATCACCAAACAGCGGCCCCTATCTAGTCTGGAGTGGGTAGGGAGTGGTTTCAGAAAAGGCTCCTGCAAGAGTTGATGTTTAAAAATAGAAATAGACCCATAGATACAGACAGCATTTTGATCGTTGCCAAATGGGAGGGGGCTGGGGGGCTGGGTGAAAAAGGGAAAGGGATGAAGAGGTACAAATTGGTGGTTACAAAATAGTCATGGGGGATGTGAAGTACAAGGCAGGGAATATAGTCAATAATATTGTAATAGTCATGTGTACTGCCAGGTGGGGACTAACTTATCGGGCAGATCACTTCATAAGTTATGTATGTAAACATCCAATCACTATGCTGTATACTTGAAACTTATATAGTATTGTATGTTGACAATACTTGAAAAATAAAGATTTTAAAAAAGAGTTGATGATTAAACTGAGTTTGAAAGAATGAATAAATGAGCCAGGAGAAAAAAAGGGACTAGGAATGGAAAAGCCATTTTAGGTAGAAGGTACAGAATGATCATAAAGCACAGAAATGAAAAAGAATGTGATAGTGTGGCGGGGAGGAACATGGGGGAACTAGGTACACTTTGATATTGCTGTAGCATGAAATGTCGAGTGGCAAAAAAAAAATCTGGAAAGGCACAGGGGGCAGTGTAGTCGGCAGCAGGAGCAGAGGGGAAAGGAGAGGAACGTGAACAATGCTCTGGGGCCCCGGGAAGGCTTTCAACCCCAACACTTCAGATTTTTGTTTATTTTATGTTTTATAATACATTTCGAAAATGCTTATTTGGTGCCACCTATGCACCAAGCACTGACAAATGCTAGGGAAACAAAGACATACATGATCTCTAGAGAAAATGACACCAACGTTGCGCCCTGCCAGAGGTGAAAGGAAGGGAGACATTGTCTCAGACGGAAGAAAGGACAACTGGGAACAGGGTCAGGGACTAGATCAGAAGGAACCACGTTAAGGAGGCTGGTGATGGGAAGCCCCAGCAGAGCTGTCATCAGACTAACAAATTATACATATATGTATCTTAAAAATTTA